AAACAAGCATGCCTCTTTTTTCTCACCTGTGGGAAAAGTAAAACCCAAATAAGTCCAAGTTTTATCATTAGGTCAAAAACTTTGATTTTCTCCATTAAAATGTGTACTTGCGTCCAAATCCCAGGGTGTATATATGATTAGAATGAAAAATTAGCATGGCTGCTATACAGCAAATGCGTGAAGTCGGAAAATCAAACATGCGCCTCTTTGGCTTGATAATCACGCAGGGTATGCCTCAGGACAAGTGTGATAGGGGCTTTTATCAAGGTCGCGCTAATACAATGAAAACGTCCTTCACGACTTTCAAAGTGTTCATGTATTTACTGTTAAACGTAGTAATAGGACATCTGCGAATATATTTAGCAACATATCCATAGAAAATCTAAGTTTTAATTATTTTATATATATTGATTTACTGTGTAGTAAACGTATTCAAACAAATAACAGCACGTAAGCTTGAAGCTTGACTTTTATTTTGAAAGTAAAATGTTTAGCTTCCCGCCTAACATCGGATTATTGACGTGATGTAACAACACAGGCAGCCGACGAATCAGGATATTTGTCCCACCCCTTCAGAGTTTGGTGGTCACCACGGTAACGGCCGCGTTTGACAACAGCAGTAAGGTGTTGAAGCGAAATACCCGTGTCACGAAAATACACGAAACACGACTGCTGTATTTGAATAAATAAACGCACCCGCCCGTCTGTTACATAAGTAAGTCCTGTTTTTTTAAGAGGCTTTAACAAAACTATTTATATGAAGCTTTTAAAGTTATTTCGAATTATTCATATTAATAGTCAACAGTACATGGGTTATTTGCAATTTTTAGCATTCCTAGCGTCGCACGTGAGTTTGTAATTTCTCAGTTTTATAGTGAATGCGTTAATGAGTCTAACAGAAAGTGACTTTATTAAATTAACTCTATTTTCCTTACATAAAAAAAGAAAAGAGAAAAATAATCGCCGTCTTTCTTTCATAACCCTTCCTCTGATGATTCCTTCAGATGTCGCAGTGACTGTCCTCCGACCGTCTGTCGTCCCTCTCGTGAGGAGCAAGGGCTCATCGTTTGCCAGGATGGAGGTGGCTCTGTCTGGGCCACAGAGGCTCTCAGAGCCCCTGAGGAGGAGGGCATCTCTACCTCTGAGCCAGCTGGTGGAGGCGACCCAGAGCAGAGGCAACATCCCCAATCATCTGCTGGAGTCAAGTACATATTAACCATGACCTCTGAAATCCTCGATAGAATTCATAATTGCAGTTTTCTGGAAGCAGTGATACTAAGTACTTGATTTTACAATGACAACTTAGGTTGAGATTTCTGTTTATTTATTTATGTATTTCTTGTAGAAATCTATGCTAACCTGAAAAGCAACAGCCTGATCCAAGCAGAGCCCTCTGAGCTTCACTTCAGTGGCTTTGAGCTCGGCAAGGATTATGTAAAAATCCTGGTAAGGAAAGTCCTGCTGTTTTCTCTTACTACTTTCCAAAAAGCAAATAATGTAGCTAAATCACAGGGCAGGTGTTATGTGGTTTTGGTCTCTTTATTTTGGAGTTATTGTAATAGGAATGTACTTGATAAATGTGACATGTGACACCTCATTTGAGCAGGTAGCTTAATATTAATGGTTGTGAAGACACTATATAGATATGATGGAGAAGATAGTGCTCAGATCTCCTCTGTGGAGAATTACCACAGCTGTGTCAGGCAGACAATAGAGATGGTGTTGGGTCAAGGCCTCTGGTTGTTTTTGTTGAATTTTGCAGTCAGCACTAACCAGACCTCAGTTTTGGCACCCGCTGGAGATGTGGAGTTGCTTTGTGTCTTATTATGCAGTCAAACACAAATGTTTTACTGTAGCTAAAATAAGACTGTTATTATAATGTGAATCATGAGTGGGGACCTACAATGAAATATATGAAGTATATGAGATTTATCATCACCAGTTTCAGTAGCAGCGAGCATGTTGCATCCAAATGAATGCAGACTGTATTTGTTTGACAGTCTGTTATATTTAAATAGGCCAAAATACGTCTAGCAGCTGAAGGATGACAAATACTCTATTTGAAACACTAGTTCAAAAAAGGCATTCTGGCTATTATTGAAGTAGCGATTAAGTGTAAATATGCCTGCAGTGCTTTTCTCTTTTCTCCAATCCCCGTTTGTATTTTCCATCAAATTTCTCCCACTTATTGGATGTCGCCAAGCTGCCAGCTCAGGGACAAATACAAGTTTGTGATTCATCAATAAAACGTTTTGATTTAAAGGCAAAAAAAGATTTCAAAGACGTTTTTTGGATTTGCGAACAAGAATTTTTGGTTCACACTTTGATTTCAAAGGAAAATGTTTGAATTAATTGGATCCACAAGCAAAAACAAAACTTTAGACTACAAAAAACAATTCTGGGGTTTCTAGTTAAACTTTTGGATTCACACACAAACATTTTTGGCAAACAGAACCTTTGGATTTGTAAACAACAGATTTGCATTCATTAACAATTTTTTTTTAATTCAGAGACAAAAATGTTTTATTTGAAAACAAAAACTTGGAAGGTTTGGTTTCTAATAAAACCAACTCATTCAAAAACATTTTGAAACATTTTGTTTGCTAATAAAGTTTTTATTTCAAAGGAAAACTTGTGCAAACAAAACGTTTTTGGATTCACAGACACATATTTTTGGTTTGAAAACAAAAACATTAGATTTGATTTTGATTACGAAACAAAATATATAGCATCTAATTAAATCTTTGGATTTGAATCAACTTTTTTTCCACAAATAAAACATTTTTAAAACATCGTCAGTACTTTTGCTCTAAAGTTTCTTTTTGATTACAGACATTTTGTCCTTGATTGCATTTTAAAGAAACAGTAACTTCAAACACAAACAGATTCAATTTGTATTTTCTTTACAAAACATTAAAATAATTTTAAGAATCCTATTGCATCATCAAGTCCTCTCATTTGGTTTCCATTAGGGTAATTTAAAGTGAATGGGGGACTGATTTTACACCCTGTGAGCATGGTTGAGCACTGTAAGCACCAGGATTATGGAAATGGCTTTCTCAAGTGCACATTTTAGGTGGAATGAATGATTTTTTTCCTCTCCTCTTCCTCTCCATCAGAAATTAATCAACATCTCATCTGAAGTTATGAATATTCATGTAATTCCCACCCAAACCAAGTACTTCCAAACAACTTATACCAAAAAGGTATTTTTTTTTTCATCGTTCCAAATTGCTGACCTGAATATAAGATTATAACTCCACTTGGCCATGAGTGCAATCAGTGTTGTTTCTGATGATTCAGTCTTGTTCCATCTGTTTTCCTTCTAGTATCGACTCATCCCAGGCCTCGCCTACACGCTGAAGGTCGGATTCTGTCCTGATGAGTGGCGCTACTTCTATGACTGCATTCGAGTTCACTGTAAGGTTAGGTTCCAACAGTTTCTGTGCCATTGTGGGCACTCTGTTACTGTTTGGCAGGGAGTCAGCTGCAGTGTGCTAATGCTGTTTGTTTTGTGCTTAAATCGTTCCACCCAAGGCATTAAAGAGAAGTTGATTTTCGCAGAATTTACACTGTGACTCCCTGCAGGAGCTAGCTGGTGTAACATTCATCTTATCTTACTTATGGAGTTTAGCAAACATTTAAACAAGCAGGATTTACTCCCTGCTTTAACTTATCTACCTCGATCTTTACTCTGAGAACTGTTTTCTTTTTTTTTCTGTGCTTCTTTCACACTTCATATCCTCTCTCTTATGTTTTCTCTTGATTTTGTTCATTCAACCTGCCTACACCCTTTCTCAGGGGGAAGATAACCTGTTAATTCCAGTTCATGCTTACCCTGTCATCGATGACCTGCACATCCCTACTCATATCGACCTACCAGCTGTAGCACTCGGACAAAGGTGTGTGTGTGTGTGCTTCATGTTAGTCTCTATGATGGACTGGTTTATTTTGACCTCATGTCTGCCTGAGGTCTTGCCTGTCTCCTTGTATTCTTCCATGCAGCCAGCCATGATTTCATTCACCCATTGATGTCAAGTCATAAAAAAATAATATCATCTCTGTCTTTCTTTCCTTGTCGCTAGTGTTTGCCATGCTATTCCTCTGAGATGTAGCTGTCCCATTGGCTTTGAGTTTCAAGTGCATATTATTCAGCCCCATGAGTCCTTCTCCATCCACCCCCTCACAGGTAACCATTCACTGAATGTTTTCTGTTGTTGACTGGGTTTTTTAACGATACAAAAATCTGAATGTTCAGATTAGAACATATAAGCGGTCTAATCTATTGAACGATTACTGATGGGCTGTACAGCACCACATCTTGGGCACAGAAGGAGCAAGTCTATGGGACCGGCTCTCAGTGACGCAAGCTCTCGCAGGTTCTGAAAATTCCGTGTTTAGACAGTCTTGCTGACTTCAGATAAAATGTTTCCCAACTTTAAAGCTCTAGCTGAGGAGTTGCAGGTAATTCAAGTGAGCCTTCAGAAGAAAATCAAGCCAGACTTGTAAAGTTATCAGTCCCAGTGAAAGATGGAAAACCAAATAACAGTTGTCTAAGGAGCTTGGAAAGAAAAGCGTCTGGACTTCTTTAAGTTGCTTGAAGACATTTCACCTCTCATCTGAGAAGCTTCTTCAGTTCTGAGGGTCAGATGGTGGAGAGTCCCAGATTTAAACCTAGTGGGAGTTTCCCCCCAAAGAGGGACAAAGG